ATTCCTGCATTCTTCATAATCTGTTTTTATTATTTATTTTTAAAGCTAACATATTGTTCCTTTAAAACATAGTAGGTTAAAAATAAGATTGCTTTTCCTTTTTTATTTTCTGATGAACAGAAAAAGAAACAATCAATAAAGACTTTTGTAATTAAAGCTAAATGATTATTTTTCTGAATATACCGTGGTTCAGATTTTGTTTAACTTCTTCAGCAGAGATGACTTTTGCTTGTTAAGAAAAAAATATTCATTTGAACGTATTTATCATCCAAGGGTTTTTCATTATTGTTATTTAGAAAGAAAATTCCTGTTCAAGATTACTTCTTTTAAATCCAAGTTAGGCAAGGTTTCTCATGTGGAGGTATAAACTCTTCAGATGTTTCATGGTAATATCAAGAGGTTAACAGGTGTCTTAGAAATATTTTGAAAAGATTTATTATGTGTCATCAGTTGTATTTAATCCCTCTAAGCTGAAGTACCATGAATCAAGGTTTCTCTTACATGCTGTGTCAGTCTGCAAATGAATCTTGTAGTCCCATCCCTGAAGACAAACATTTCACCTACCTGTGCAGTTGCAGGTAAGCTGCTCATGGTTACGTTTGCAAAGTATCACTCTTTCATTTTCCACCCAAAATAAAACTTACTATGTATTGATTTTTCATGGAAGTATTCAGAAAAAAAAATAAATCAGAAAACCAGCTTTTCTGTGTGTTTTAATTGGTAACTAAAGATGATTTCTTAGAAATCACATCATAATGGTGGTGAAATATTAACCAACTCAAAGGTGAAAAGAGAGGAGGGTTTGGATTTCCACAGGCGTGGTTATTGGATTTAATACTGTGCCTAATCAAGGACTTGATTACAACAGAGTGACTGAAAGTGGAGCCATTAAATAATTTCCATGGGAGCTTCAAAGGAGGACTGAAGATAGACACCGCTCATACTTCATAATACCACCAGAGGTCTTAAAACGAGAAGTTTGGTGGTGTTTCAAGAGTTGCAGATTACTGAAGCAAAATAACAGCTTTCTGCAAACCCACAGACTGATGGTGACTCCAACCAGCTGTTGCAGGGGGGTTACAGTCTGCTCTGCAGCCCCTGGGAGATCATCAGTTGCCAGCAGGGCACCAGGCAGGTCTCCTTCTGTAAGAAAGGGAGTGCACCAGTAACCAAACAGCCACTGGGAGGACCTTTGACACACCTACAGAGTTATAACTATTTCATATCAGCATGTCAAAACGCCATGCGCAAATTTAGTCCCTATCTTCTTTACCAAGCACTAAAGAAATAAATGGTGACTGTCCCATTATAAATACGGCACACGAGGTGCAGGGCAGGAGCTTTCTAATTCCTCATTTTCAAGCACTGTCCAATTAAACTGTTCTGGTACTCAGCTGTGACCAACATGCCTTCCTTTGAGCTGGCTCCAGAGGAATTTGTGACACTTTGTTTAGTCCCTCTATTTTCAAAAAAGAAAAAAAAAAACAAAACCAAAATGTCTCCTTGACTTAATATTGTCCAATACCCATTTTGGGTACCTTGAAATATGTTGGATTGCTATTTAACTACCTGTGAACTAGAACTAACAAACATGCTTTTGGGTAGCTATTGAAAAGCTTTGCACTTAGTTTACATTTTGACATGCATAGATTTTTTTTTTTTTTTTAATTACAAAAAAACCCAAAACAAAACAAAACCAGACAGACCCCTCAAAAGTCATACTAATATTTTTGTGTCCCCCCGGTTTTTTTTCTTTTTTGTAGGGGGGGAGGGAGGAGAAAGGGAAATAGGCACAGTCTGATCACCAATAAAGCAGTAGTAAAGTGAAGCCAGTACCATTTCATCTTCAGAAAGAACTTTGTATCTGATTTTGTGAGAAGATCCTGCTCTTGCTGTATTTTATTTCTACAGCGACGTGAGGCAGATTCAATAACTCTGGTAGCTCTTTCAGATAAACAGCACTTTCAGTGTTGACACGTGTTAATGTAACTGTAGCATCTGACCAGCACAGAAGAAATTCAGTCCCATCTGAGAAATCCTGGGTCGGGACAGGGGGTAGAGGGCAACAGCTCCTCTTTGACAAGGGCTCTTGGCTCCGGAGTCCCATAGGTACCAGTCTTGTCTCCCTTTCACTCAGTGCTAGAGTGAAGCTGCTGTGATTGATGTGGGGTGCACTACAGTGTTGTCAGGATGCTAACGCTCAGCGCTGCAGCTCAGTTCCAGCAGGCCCAGACACACCAACACCCTTCTCCTCTCAGCATCCACAAGGGACCAGCCGAATGAGGCTGACCAGTTGTCACACAGGATGCAGGTAATGTGGCAATGATGCTGACTGGGAAGCAGGAGCCAAAACATGCAACTTTTCCTTTAGGTACAGATGACTCCTTTTCTCCTATCAAAATTATTCTCAATTAAAAAAAATTATAAAAAACTATTAATCTTGTCTGTGGTAAGGAGAGCTGTTAACAGCTCTAAGCTTTGGATATATATGAAATTATGGCTTCTGTCTCTCCTGATGATTTCATTAGCTTTGAATTGCCTCTGACCATTAACTAGAAATTCACTTAACCTGAGATTAATCTTGAAAGACAGGAAATGAAAGGTAATGCTGCTCAGGCCTTCTGAGACATGTATTAATCCCAGCCTTTGACACAAACATGGTTTTATACAGCAAAATAAAAAATGAGCTATCCTTATCTCGCTGTGAAGTCCCACATCTGCAGTGTTTACCTCAAGAAATCTAGGAAGGAGAAACACTTATTCATGTCCATCACTGACTTTCTCTACTTCACCTTGGAATAAAAAAATAGAGTGCCTCATTTCCACTCCATTTCAAAATATGGTCACTCATGCACGTGAGTTCCCCAGCAAAATGGCATTTTTTATCAGGAAGAACACAGAAGACCCCAGATTATGCAGTGGCTGCAGATCTTTTACAGAAGGGAAGGCAAAATACTGACTACTGTTTATAAACCTGCAGATGGTCTGCAGCCAAGCAACGTCAGAAATTCTCTCTCCTTTTCTAGCCATACAAATGGAATAAATTTACTGCCGCTGCCTGGGGAAGCCCGACCCCTCATTGCACTTGGAAAACAGTCTGGAGAAACAAGGTAGAGCAAAGTAGGCATCAGGATAACCAGAGCACGGATTTCTGAGGTGTTCTCAGGCCTCACGTAGATGTTTGATTTGAAGCTGCTGCTACACGCTCATCACAAGGCAGCCAGACTAGATGCTCCTTTCATTTCATCGTATATTTATATACGAATCCTTTCGTCATGATATAAATACTTTTTGTGAGTGTTCCAGTATACCTGCAGTGCTTGAACAGTTTTGAACTGTTTAAGAGAATTATAAAACGAAGATACTTAGCGTCTTGCCAAGCTAGTTGCAGTATCTTGTACTATCACACTTGCTGAGCAATGAGAGAAGTAACTTGGAGTTCTGCTTTGATTTATTTCACCCGTGCAGAGGCTCACAGAAACGGCACACCCCCATCAAGGACATTTCTTAAGATTAGTTGAGTACAGTTTGTGAGACTCTACTATCACCAGCCCCCCCCATCACAGCGGGATCTCGGGGACATCTTACCTTTCTTTACATGTTGCAAAAGTTTACTTTTGGCGAGCAGGGAAAGAAAAGGAACCAGGGATGCAGCGCAGTCATCAGCTTGGGGAGTTTATCCCTGTTGAAGGCTGAATGACCCTCTCCTGGCCTCGGGAGCCGGGCAGAGCCCGGGGACCGGTCCCCGGGGGAACCCCAGCCTGTCCCCCAGCTCTGCAGGACCCTCTCCTCTCCCCTCTGCCCCTTCCCAGCCCGCCTCCCGCTTTGTCGGGCTCCCTTCAGCTGCGGACCCGCATCCCTCTCCCTCCGCCGCCCGCGCCTGCTCCTGCCGCCGCAAATCAGCCTGGAAAAGCGGGGAGTGTCTCCCCCCGACCCCGTGTCCCCGAGATCCCCCAAACCCTGTAGTCCCTCCATCCCAGTCACCAGCCGGGCTCCGGGCTGCTGCTCGCCGGGAGGGAACCGGCGCGTCCCCTGGGGTCCCCCGGGCCCGGAGCGGGGCTGGGCGCTGCCGGGGGGGATGAGCTGCAGGTGCGACCTGTTGCTTTGCTTTTAACAAGTCCAGCGGCCCGATGGGCGGATTCCCTCAGGAACCCGAGCTGTGGGAAAGGAGAAGGGCTCCCTTCCCCTCTCCGCCGCCTTCGACGGCGCACGGCGAGACCGGGGCCGCCGGCCCGAACTTAAAAAACTTGGAGGCTGCTGGTTGCCAGCACCCCTGGGGGGGGAGGGTGGGGGACGGGAGG